CCTGTTTGCTGTCGTAAGACCTAAAAAGTTTATGTCAAAAACAGGGAGGGATTTTATTTAGGTCAGCTGGCGATTAGTTATGTGGTGGGTTAGTGAGCGGTTCAGGTCATACATGAGCAAATGTGGCTTTCGTAAGTAGGATTAGTCCTCTGTCTTAAGGTGGGCTATCGCTGCAAACGTGTTTCTTTGCATGGTTTTTTTATCTAAGTTTAAAGCCTATTTAAGTTTTAAGGCTCATATTTACTATGATTCGTTGATTGTAAATGTTGTTTCTTTTAAATTATTCATATATTATTCATATACTTTTAAATAAATTATTCATATACTTTTAAGTTATTCATATTTTTCAAATACAGCACAATTATCAGTGGATCATAATAAATACAGACTATGGATTTATCAATTTCCCGTAGTTTCTAGATCATTTTAGAAAATTCTAGAAAAATTGTGGACTTCCTTCCTCAGGACTATCTGAAAATTGTAGTAAATTATAACTCACCAGTCATTTACGACCTGAACTAATTACTTATTCTGTGTATTAAAATTAGAGAGAGCAAAGAGAACAAAGATGGGGGAAAGATTTTCGAGCACTAAGCAAATTTTTATTGCTGCAATATTTTGATAGGGAAAGCGATAGAAGTTACTACTTGTAGTGTTTATAGTAAGCAAATCTGTAGGGAATATGGGAATTGCATTTAATTAACCCACCTTACTTTCAACTTTTTTATTATGAACTTTAAAGCAAGGAATAGGAAGTAGATGGGAATAATGTCTTGTGAGTGGGAATAATTATTTCATTTTAAAAAGGTCCTTTGCACTCGAAAAATGTGTTTTCTACTCTGTGGATCGGGAAACGAATTACTTGCATAACTGGATGTCAAATTCAGGTCAAAATTGGCTACCTGAAAATTTGGCTTTAGGTCAAAATTCTTTAGCTGCTTGTTTTAATTTTTCGCTAGTCAACTATTTATGTTATATGTTACAATCATAGGTGAAGATATCTTCTCCTGCTGTTGGAGTGTTGATAAAATATAATAAACGACAAAAATGATCATTGGAATAAATTAATTTTCAGTTAATCGGACTTGCGATGTCTCATCGTAAATTTTCGGCTCCACGACATGGGTCGATGGGTTTTACACCAAAGAAACGGTCGAAACGCCATCGTGGAAAAGTTAAGGCCTTCCCCAAAGATGATCCCTCGAAACCGATTCATTTGACTGCATTTATGGGTTTTAAGGCTGGCATGACTCATATTGTTCGTGAGGTATCATTTTTTTTTAATTTTCTTATGTTTGTATTAGTTAGCGATGCACAATGATGAGTTCGTTGATTATTATTTGAATAATAGTGATGAGCAATAAAATGTTCCCTATTGGACTGAGTGCTTCACACTTCTATTCTAACTTTTCATGGTGTAGTTTTCTATTTATTGATGGTATGGCATATTATAGGTTGACAAGCCAGGATCAAAGGTTAATAAAAAGGAAGTTGTCGAGGCGGTGACTGTTTTGGAAACTCCTCCGATGATTATCGTTGGTGTAGTGGGATACATCGATACGCCGCGCGGTCCACGACAATTCAAGACAGTATGGGCTGAACATCTGTCAGAGGATTGTCGACGAAGGTTCTACAAAAATTGGTACGTTTAATCGATATCTTCAATAATTTTCTTTATGAAGGTTAAAAAGAATGGGTATCAGGAATTTGGAGGCGGATTTACGTTTGCAGTACGAATTCCTTTAGTTTACTGTGGTTTCGGAGCTCTTTGTCCATCAGAACCTTTGAATAGGATTAGTCAAGTTTACAATATTGCTGTCTGCAGAGTGGTTTACTCTTAGTGTCGTGGGTAAAATGGTGTAAACGACGAAGGTTCTGACTGTCATGGGTTCGATTCTGTGGTATCTCTTGTACAAAAAAAAGGGCTTTGAAAGCTATGATGAGAGACTGGAAGTGTACTTACTGGTCGTGAAGATAGCAACAGTCCACTATATGCTGCCTTCCTTCTGAGCTTTCGTTTCTTGACGTAGTGATAACATTCTATTTGGCCTCACTTTATTTTGCTACAGTTCAAGTGGCTTGGTTACTTCAGTGCATGGTTTTTGAAAATACTGCTCAGTATTTTCTGCCTTCACTCTCCTCTGCAACTGTGTTTGCATGAGTAGCAACTTCAAGTCTTGGAGAATAGACCTTCCGCTGTTACAAATGTTGGCGTAACATGAAGGCCACTAAAACGGCGTAAGAAGCGGGAGCGTTTGTTCTTTGCTTTTACACTGTTAGAGTTCTCATTTCCACAGGAATTCATCGAAAAAGAAGGCATTCCAAAAGCATGCAAAGAAATGGCAAGATGAGGATGGCATGAAATCGATACAAGCTGATTTGGCCAAGATGAAGAAATATTGTTCGATAATTCGTGTCATTGCACACACACAGGTTTGTCTGGGAGAGAGGGAGGGAAGTTGTTTCTGGATCTTAATTTGTTTATTTTTCCACTTGTTTTATATGGAATTCTTGCTCACTGTCGAATTTGCAGATGAAAGTTATGAAACATCGAGAAAAAAAAGGCTCATATTATGGAAATACAAGTAAATGGTGGTACAATCCCCGAAAAAGTTGACTGGGCTTATGAACATTTTGAAAAACAGGTAGATTAAAAATTACTTAATATTCAAATCTTTTTCCTCATGTTTACCAAGGAAAGCAGAGTTAACTGGAAAGTTCTTCACATTCAGGTGCCAGTGGATTCGATATTCGCGCAAGATGAAATGATCGATGTTATTGGTGTTACCAAGGGAAAAGGTTTCAAAGGTGTTACAAGCCGTTGGCATACAAAAAAGCTCCCACGCAAAACACATAAAGGTCTTCGAAAGGTGGGGTTTCTTCTGATATAGTTAGAGCATGCTTTGTTTATAGTAGTGCGATGGCAGTGATGTATTAGATCAAATGAAAGTAGTGGACTGAATATCTCTTGTAGATATATTGAAGCTGAGCCATTCTTTACTTCCTTGGAAAGTTCTTTGTTTTTTTAGCAATGCTAAATCCCAGTTGTAATTTAGGTAGCTTGTATCGGAGCTTGGCATCCATCTCGTGTACAGTTTACGGTAGCTCGTGCTGGTCAGAAAGGTTATCATCATCGTACAGAAGTGAACAAGAAGATCTATCGGATAGGAAAATCTTGTCTTACTGAGGAGGGCAAAAAAAACGGTGGTACGGACTATGATATCACGGAGAAGAGCATTAATCCTATGGTAAGCAGCAATGATTTGTAATAACGTTTAAATGATGATACGTGATCTCGCATAATGATGATACTAGTCTGCAATTCAGCGTATTAATGTGCTGATAACCGCACGAAACTGAATGCAAATGATAAATGATCAAGGAATCTATTTTGCAATTAGTAGTCGTTATTAATAGTCGATTACCATTAGTAGTAATTATTCCTTGTTTTCTGTAATTACAAATATTTCAGGGAGGCTTTCCGCACTACGGTCTGGTGAATCAGGATTTCATCTTGATTCGAGGCTGTTGTATGGGCTCGAAAAAAAGACCTATAACATTAAGGAAATCTCTAATTGCGCAAACGAAACGTGTCGCTTATGAAAAAATCAACCTGAAATGGATCGACACCAGCTCCAAGTTTGGTCATGGGCGATTCCAGACACATGCAGAAAAGAAGGCATTCATGGGCAAATTGAAGAAAGATTTTGTTGCTGCTTGATCACTGCAGTAATCAAACCTATTGTTATAATTTTTTTGCACGATAAATTGTTGCTCTTTGCATACTTATATTGCTGCACACCCCAACTTTTCAAACTTGTAGCACCTTTCATGTTGGCACCCTAAAAAGCGAGTGTATGCAAGCAGCATTTCAAGCAGTTGCTGTATCCGAGAGGTGTAATATCAGTAGGAGAGGTGATGCACTAACTTGAGGTTCTTAAAGCCTTCAGCATTGTCGTATCAGGATGCGAACTGTTGTATACAGGGCACAATTTATTTGGAACATTGGAACACAATTACTGGACGCATTAGATTAACGGCTGAACAATATGCACAAAATTACTCCAAACACATTAATATAAAAACATGAAATGGAAAAACGGCTGTGCCACGAACAATACACCAGAGAACAATATATAAGATCAATTGAGAAAAAGAGTCTTCCAAATCTCGTTTGCGATTTGGGGTCAGTTACAATTCAGTTGAAAATATCAGTTCAATTAATTATTTAGTTAGGAATTCCACTCATTAAATTAATTCATTATGGAAAGCATTTCGAGACAATGCAACTCAAATATGGAACAAAAAAAAAAACGAAAAGACCGGTAATAAAAATTAACCGGCCCTGCGAATATATCAGATGACAAAATGGGGAATTGAAATTCAAAGATCATTAATACCAGACTGCTGCTGTAAGAATGAACGAATACAGTGCATCAGTTCACGTTTTACTTCATCTGGTACAGCTCGTCTGGCTCGTACTCGTACATCGCTCAACACATCTTCAAGTGTTACTTGTTCGATACCCTGCAATAAAATTGAAAATTTTCCGGAAAAAAAAAGTGGCACAACATGACAGCTCCTGGGCAATTAAGAGTTTGTGCTAGTAAGAATCGACTTTTCCCATACTTCACTCTATTTCTTGAATTCCTAGAAAGAAAAAAAGAAAAAACTTTAAAGAAACCAAAAACAACGGAAACTTATATATAATTCGAAAAAAAGAAAGCAAGACACTTATGATATTGGTATATTTTCGAACTATTAAGGTAAAAGTTATATATGTTTATATATATATATATATATTCGAATTCCCATTACGTGACAAAACTACTTATCCCATTCGAAGTTTATAAGTTACTCGTCCCTGTCCAACGATCATTTCAGAAAGCGAATTGGGAATGGAAATCATTACTTTTATATCTTGCATTTCTTCTGTCATACATTTCAAAAGTTTTACATCAGTTAATCCTTTAAACAATCACATATGCCTAATGCAAATATAAAAATGATTTTTTTAAATCAATACTTGAAATGATTTTTGATCCTTATATATTACAGAAGTTATACCCACAAGGCTAATAACAGTGTAATCACTGATTGTTTTTGTAATGGGAATATAAAATGAGAAATATGATTGCTTATAAAATGTAATTTAGCACAAAGTTTCAATACTAACCTTATTTTGTATACAATTCCGACACATATTCTCCACTTCTTCTACCCAACCACTTTCTCGCAACCTTTGCAATAACAATTCCTTCATCCGATCTCGTTCACCACATTCAATAAATTTACGTTCCAAAGCTGCTTTACTTACTGATGGCGCACTCATTATTAGTAACAATCTGAATGAAATCCAATGATTATACAATCATGGAATGTGAGAAATAAACGAAGAATCAGATAAACTAACTCTTTCACAATTATTCAACAGCTACACCATCTGTAGTATTAATTAATCCTGTAAACCAATTAACTATATTCCCCATTAATCCCAATTACAGCTCCCATGCTTATCACTGATAGCACAATTACCTTCGTTACACGAATGATATAAATCACAACCCATAGTTCTTTTTTATTCACTGTATCCCTATGCCATTATTATATTCTTAAAATCAAGAGAAAACTGTAACAAGGAGTTCTTACTTATATTCTTACTTCTAGACATTGTCACCATTAAACTATTGCTAGCATATAATGATAAGCATAAGAAAATGTTTACAACTATCCGATTTTCCGAATTCTAATGCTTAAATCTAAATCTCATATATCAGACCATACTTTCAAAATGAGGTAAAAGTAGCATGTTTTATATTGAGGCATAACAGCATTACTGTTAAACAGTGTTTTTGAGATAAATATGTGATTACACAAACAGTATCAAAGAAAATTTTCACTCTTAAACGGTCTGTTTTTTTTTTTAAATCTTTATTTCAGAAGGCACTTATTGAGAAATGTTGCCAAATAATGATGAAAATAAAAAATCTAAATACAATATCGAATCGAAAATATTCAAAGTGATAGAATATACTAAAGGCGAATAGTTAAAACTGCTGTTTATGTATTTTAGCCTACAACAATACGTACTACACATTTACCCTTACATATGCACACGTTGTTGTAATCTGGAATTCAATTTGTAATGAAATGTTTTTTTAACATATAATAGTTTTTCTTAGTTCTATACCCGCATAAATTTTATATAACATAGCCATACGTGATATCCGTATGTGGAATAATCTTCACAGATAGCATTTGCAAACAAAAGTGGAATCCGGTCCATACGGTACAAGCAAAAGAAAAAAAAAGAAAATGGAATAAGAGCAATAACTTGACAAAAAAACAAATTAAATTAGGTTATAAATTATTTGCTCAGTTAGGATATCACGAGTGGCATGAAAGAAAAAAGTAAAATTTTTTTAAGATAAACATTATATAATACATGTACAAATATATAATGAATAATACACCAAATTATACAAATCTCATATACAATGATCAAAGCAATTTTATAAAAGACAAAGCACAGAAGAGAAAGGCAGTGGGTATTATTAATCTGTACTGGAAGTCAAAAAGCACACAATGCCTCATAATAGACCAATTAAATTTAAAAACATTCGAGGAAATAAAAATTATTTTAGTTTTTATTTATATCTAAAACTAACTTAAGAAAGTAATTTCTACAATTACATGTAAATTGTAAAGTAAACAAATAAAAATTTTTGCTGGGTTAGTCTGTTTCCTCCCATTGCATTACATTATCCCCCACTTATAGGGAGGTCATGTCATTAAGTTTAATTTCAACCCGCCAAGAGCAGAACCATAATATCGTTGTTTTTCTACAACTACTGGGTTTTATATATTACAGGCTTTTAAATAGACGAAGAACACTAATAAAAATCTTTCCAAATGACAGGAAAATAAATGATATATTCAAGAGCACCGATAAACTACCAAGAAAAGTTTCGTCACCTCAAAACAGCATTCAACAAAATTAATGAAATATTATATGATAATAGTAAAGCATCCACTGTAACAAACAAATGCAGAATGCTTTTACGGCAAGAATTTAAGATGAGCGTTAGCAAACTGTTTATTATACCTATTTCATATGTGCGATGTAGCAGATCCGGGTTCGAAAGAAATCAAACTGCCACCTTATTAATTCTGGCAAATGTTATGGTAAAACATTGTATTAAAAAAAATTGATAAAATAGCAGAACATACGATATGCTCCCATTATTCCTCGGCCTTATCTGTGAAAATTTCCATTATAGATCGCAAATCGATAAAAAGGTGAAAAAGAGAAAGAAAAGAGCAATGCTGAACCCCTGATTTCTAGAAATATGCATTTAAATTACAATTCCCGTGAAGAAGTTAATTAAAATACCAAGAAATGATCGAATTTGAGAAAACCACGAAAAAAAATTTGTACCCATATCCACTGAGCAAAAATTCATGAACAAAGGTGATCTGCTTGCCGGATGCACAGAAAAGTCGAGGTGGCACTATGCCTCTTCTGCTGGTGCAACATAAGCAAGTGGGAAGTAGCCTACCTAAAACGATTCTTCTTATGAAATTTTAAAAACAGCACTTATTTTCCAGTCAAATGAATCAGTTTACTAATAAAATAAAATATACAGATCAGTTAACACTATACTCAAAAAAATAACCCTTTCCACTATCAATAATGAGATACAAAAAAATTTCTTACTGTAAACTCAAAAACTGAGTGAAAACTTTACTGAATTGGATATATCGTCGTTCTAATTTACATATAACTAACTGCATTTATTCCAAAACATCATATCATATCAGTTCAGCTGTGGAGCAAAATATTAGCTTAAACTTTGAAAATATCAAATCACTCAAATATGCGCATAGTGCCAGAAATTAATTCAAGTGATGACTTACTCGATTACCACTGCGGCCTTTCCACCATCCTCGATCTTCACCAGTCCTACTGATCACGTAGACTCTCTGCCCAACCACCAAGGTAAGAAAATTCGGTTCTGATGCTTCAAAATTATGCAGGGCAACATATGACTGTTTGTCGGTATACGAATGTCGTAAAGTGGTGTTTAAAGTTTCAAATGACTCTCGCAAATTATTTTCTCTATAGTAGTTGATCAATTCCTGAAAATTAGACAATGGCACTTCTGTCAATTATCATTGGTATTTACTATCGACTGTTACCATTCTATTATCAGCAATATCATACTGTTATATTCGCTCCACCGTTAATATGCCTGTCTACCAATGACTTGAAGGAGCAGTGTTAATAGTGTCAGTCGTATCTGTTGCTTCAGTCACAGAAAAGCTTCAGAAAAATTGCTAATGTCTAACCACGACACTTGAAAACATTGTGCTTTCGTCCAAGTAATAACGTCCTTCTGGCGACTGTTCCACCTTCGTGTGTTTCACATCACCGTTGAAACTAAAACTTACCTTCAAAGAGGAATGAGATAAGACACATTTATTTCAGTTTTTCAAAAACAAAGAAAAGATTCCTCAAGGCAGAGCATATATATATATATATATATATATATATATATATATATATATATATATATATATATATATATATATATATATATATAT